GACCGCATGCAAGCTGGTCCAGCCTTTGGGGTGGCTGTTTCCTCGAAGGCTCAGCAGGGAATCAACTCTAAGGTCATTTTCACGCTTAGTTTGGGCCGTGGCTACAAAAACGAAACCATGAAATCTTGTCCACGAACGGTTATACCAACACTGTTGTGGAAACAATCCAACCATCCATCGGTGGATAGAGGGTAAACAAAGCTTGGAGGACATCAGGCCAACCGAGTATTTAGATACAAAACAGTACGGACCGATGCCTGCATGATACGGTGTGCTAGGTACAAGGGGCCAGCCAGAAACCCCACAAAATTACATGTCCCCATTTATTTTCCCAAATAGGAAGAGTTATAGCAGCAGAAAAGTCCTGAGGTTCCCTTAGGCTATGAGGAGAGACAGAAGCCTCACAGACATGGAGAACAGCGCCCATTCAGGTTCTAAAGCTCCCTGCCCCATGAACACATTAAAAACAGAAAACCACCCCCCTGCCATATTTCATGGTGAAGCACAATGTTTTATGAATGATAGCTCAGCAGTGCTTTTAAAAACGAAAATGCACGGAGCTGGAGAGATGGCTCAGAGGTTAAGAGCACTGACTGCTCTTCCAGAGGTCCTGAGTTCCATTCCCAGCAACACATGGTGGCTCACAACCATCTGGAATGGGATCTGAGGCACTCTTCTGGTGTGTCTGAAGACAGTTACAGTGTACTCATATACACAGAATAAAGAAATCTTAAAAAAAGAAATAGAAAAGAAAATGCAGCCAGGCACACTGAAATGCTGAGGGACCCAGACCCCCAAAGGAGCTTGTCCAGAAGTCGACCATCAGAGTCTAGAAGGAGACTGCCCAATGCTCTTGGTGGGGCAGTGCATGTCCGACACACTCAGCACTTAGGAGACAACAGTGAATGAGGAGCAGGCAGTCAAATCCATCCTGTATTACATATGGTTTTAGGCCAGGGAAGGGAAGAAGGGAAGAAGAGAAGAAGGGAAAAAGGGAAGGGAAGAAGAGAAGAAGGGAAGAAGGGAAGAAGGGAAGAGAAGAAGGGAAGAAGGGAAGAAAGGAAGGGAAGGGAAAGGAAGAAGGAAGAAGAGCTATTTTAAAAAACCAACTCAGCAAGCTCAAACATCTGAGACCTAATTGGATGGATACTGGCACATTTATTTAGTATTAAGTTCAGTGAGAAGAGAGAAGCAAAAAGCAGGTTATAGGAGAACACGGACAACCACACTTTTGTCAGCTTTCTATACGAAGGATCGTAGAACACCAACAGAGAGAACCTAAGACACTTTAATCTTGGACTTGGAACCTCTAGAACCCCAGGAGACAAAGGTTTTCTGAGTGAGGTGTCAGTTCATCCTCTTGCTGAGGCCACCCAGACAGGCCAAGCCAGTCAGTCACACAACACAAAACCAGAGACAGGCAGAGAATGAAGAGGAGCTCGGCACGGATAGAAATCTGCAGCTAACATGCACAGGCTGACCTCAGAGCCGGCTTCTGGTTTTGAAAATGGCTCATGGGAAATGGAATGGAGTGTCGGCTGTGGAGGCAGGTGGGACAGGAGAGAGGGCACACGTGCAATGCTCCCTAAGGACCCAGCTCTTCCCACCTGACTCCCTCAGCCAGGACACCGGGACTTCCTTAGTAGACTTAGGAGTGAAGCGACGCTGCACTTTACAATCCTGTCTGTCCACAGCCAGCCAACGAGCGTTCATCAGCGGAGCCCCTGGAACTCACACAGAGGTCAGCCATCTGAACAAGGAGGTCACCCCGATTCTCCCCATCACCGAATCTGAACTGGTCGAGGCATGTATTTCAGTGCTTGCGAGTTCTACCTGAGCCTTAAAAAGATTAACAGGAACATGTGTCATACTTTTCCCAGTTCGTTTGTAAGGGTATTAATTTACAGTTTAAATGGCGAACCCCTACAGTTGTTAGCTCAGGGGTAGGGAGAAGCCCATCTAAATAGTGCAATGGTGGGCATCTTTACAGTCCCTTGTTGGTATGAGTTTTAAAACCGGGATGAACAAGTGCAGAGAGACCTAGTGAGGCAGATACCGCACATTTACCTAACAACACTTGGATTCACACAGCCTTGACTGATCTTCAGCTCGTGAAGCTAGAACAGCAAGTGCTTCATGAAACTCAGCATAAAAGAGAGTAGTACTGGACTGGAGAGATGGCTCAGCGGTTAAGAGCACTGACTGCTCTTCCAGAGGTCCTGAGTTCAATTCCCAGCAACCACATGGTGGCTCACAACCATCTGTAATGGGATCTGATGCCCTCTTCTGGTGTGTCTGAAGACTAAATAAGTAAATCTTTTAAAAAAGAGAGAGAGAGAGCAGTGCAAGATAGATATACAAATGGCTGCTGATGAAAAGCAGATGCACATTTGTAAATATATCTATATATTTGCATAAGTTTTTAATGGATATTAAAAAGCTTAAAATACATCTTTTGAGCTAGAAGGAATTATGACCTAACAACATTCAGAGGTCTTGTACTATATCCATCATCAACTTTAATTTTTAAAGTAGACATTAGATTATTAAAAATCATATCTCCCCTTATGGGATGGCTGGAATGAATAGTCCTTATAAGCCTCATTGAACTTCATATTATATTTATTACATATTTATACTAAATTATATTTATGTTTTAATGCAAACAGATGTTTCTTTTCTTTTTAATCTTTTTGTTTGTTTGTTTGCTTGTTTGGTTTTTGGTTTTTCGAGACAGGGTTTCTCTGTATAGCCCTGGCTGTCCTGGAACTCACTCTGCAGACCAGGCTGGCCTCGAACTCAGAAATCTGCCTGCCTCTGCCTCCCAAGTGCTGGGATTAAAGGCGTGCGCCACCACTGCCCGGCTATTTTCTATTTCAATTATAATGTTTATTCTTTTAACATCTTGTGCATGTAAACAATGAGATCCAATAATATCATCTACCCATCTCCCACCTAACTCAAAACTCTCAAACACGGTCTCCTCACAACTTTATGTTCATATATTTTGATAACCCACTAAAGTCCAATTAGTGCTACCCATAAGACATTTATTTTCAACAATAACAACAAAAAGTCAATAATCTATAGAAGTGAAGAGGAATTTGTCCCTGTGTATAAAAACTAGTCTGGGCAGTGGAGGAGACAGGGTATCAGTGGGGATGGCGGGGAACCCGGGACGTGGGAGATGGGTACACATGCTTGTTCTGCAAGCCTGACAACCAGAGGTCGATTTCAGAGGCAGGGCAGAGCATCTGTACTCCCAGAACTCCGACAGGAGCTGGAGGACGGAGGCAGGAGCGAGCAAGCTGGGGGACACGGAGGCAGAAGGGAGCAAGCTGGGAACTGGTAAAAACAAGGAGTCCTGCTCAATGACGTGGAAAGCAAGAACTGACTCTAAAGTTGTCCTCTGGCCTCCACATGCACACCTGCCTGCACTCACAGGTCACACACACACACACACCAGATGTACTCCATGACAGCCCAGCAGTCACATACTCTTACTTAAATGAGCTGGGACTCTACAGAAAGGAAGCCCACCCTGCCTGTTTACAGAAAAACATCAGCAACAGCTATCCAAGCTTGGAAGGAAGTAACAAGATGTCCTGCAGGTAAACAGGTAACTGGTCTCCGGAGACAAAGGGATAGTATTCAGTGCCAAAAAGAAACTTACCACTGAACCATGAAAAGGCACATGAAGCAGTTTTAAACACACATTGCTGCCTAGAACATGATAAAAAAAATCTAAAAACCTCAAATAAATGCTCATTATTGAGTTTAAGAGTTGCTGTCTAGCCGGGTGGTGGTGGCGCATGCCTTTAATCCCAGCACTTGGGAGGCAGAGGCAGGCGGATTTCTGAGTTTGAGAGTTCGAGGCTAGCCTGGTCTACAGAGTGAGTTCCAGGACAGCCAGGGCTGCACAGAGAAACCCTGTCTTGAAAAACCAATCCCCCCAAAAAAAGAGTTGCTGTCTAGCTACAAAACCTTGAAGTCAGGGAAAATAAAAGGTAGGTAAGCTCTAGGGACACCAAAAGGTAACTTCTCAAATGTAAATTCAGATACAAACCATACCTAAAAGCTTACAGTCATCAGCTGGAATGTCGGTGAGCTGGCAACGTTATTAAATTCCCAAGAGATGTCTTACAATGAAACTTCACTCCTAACAAACGTTCTTTTGCTCCAACTAGGGAAGAGGCAATTTCGGGACGACTTCCAAGTTTTCAAAAGAAAGATTTGCAACATCCAGTTTTCACAATGTTAAAAAAAATAACTTTATGCTTAAAAATTGGCTTATTTTGTGACCTAAATTTCATAGCACAGGAGAGGGAACGAAAAGTGGACCGAGAAGGTGGGTGGGGAAGCCTCATACAGATCCACCTGGGATCCTGTTAATTAAAAAATTCTAGACATTCCAAGCATATCTCTACACTTGTCGGGCCAAAGCTTTTTCTGTATAAAGGTCTCTGATCTCTTCTTCCGGGAGAGGGGGGCGAGAGGGGATCAAAGGCTTAAAAAAAGGAAATACGTGTTGTGCAAATAAATATCCAGCACACTTTATATTCGCTATAATTACTAAAAGAAAAACAAAACAAAAACACCAAGCCTTTAAGTCTGAGCGAACCGCGGTCCCAGGCACCATGATTCAGGACTTCTCTGTCTCTCACTCCGGAATAGAAATACCTGGCCTGGAAGCGGTCACCGGCGTCCCCAGTGTCTCAGGCCGAACCCCAGAGCCCTTGTGGCAGCAGAGCGAAGGGCAGCGCCGCCGGCCAGTGCCCGGGGTACGCGTCCCCGCGGTACCCCACACATGCTGGCTCTGGGGCCCACGACCTGCGGGATCCGGCCACTAATCAGAGGGGTCCTCCGGGACCAGTCACCTCGCAGCCCCGAGAAGCGCCGGGTCCCTGCCAACTCCGCACCCGGCACACGACCCCGTGCACCTGCACCTCGTCTCCAGGGCACCCCGCGGCCCGCACCTGCGTCCCCACGCGTGCCCTCACCGGCGCCGGGGCGGCTGCGGCTGCCGGCGGTGCCCCTCGCAGCACGTCCTCTTCCTCTGGGGGCTCGTCCAGAAGCACTCGATTTCGGCTCAGCTTCCACATCTCGGGTGCTCGACCGCTCGGCGCAGCGTCGCTCCCGGACTGAGGGAGGACGCCCGGGCCGCCGCGGAGCTGGGACAGTGCGGAGGACTGGGCGTGGAGGGGCGGTCAGCTGCGGGCGGCCGTCCCTTGCCCGCCCCCAGGCCCGCCCCCAGACCCTCCTCCAGCCTTCAGGTCCCTCAGGTCCCCTATGCCCTGGCCCTCCCCCACCCTGACACTCAGCCTGCGGGTCCCCTACGTCCCCAGGACCGCCCCAACCTCCTAAAGTAGGCCCCCCAGGGGAATCCAGCCAGCCGAGTGCTTTACTAAAGGACCGAGAACCGGGGCACACCAAAGCCACGTGACATTTCACACCGGTGGCCCCTCAACTCCCGGCCCTCCGCTCACCCAGCCCGATGGGCGTGGTCCATCCTGGATCACCAAGGCAACGGCGAGGTGGGGCCGCGCAATACGCATGCTCGCCCCGTTGGTGCTACGGAGGCCGAGGGCGGGGCTTCGCTGACCCGCAGACTGAGGGGTAGTGGTCTATGTTGATCCTAAAAGGTCCTTTAATGGTATGGACCACCGAAGAGGGGAGCACCTGCAAGGGAGGGGGGGTGCTAGGGAAAGAGAAGGGTTCCTGCATAGTGACAAGGGTCACTTTGAGCTGCCTTGAGGCCTGCACTGATGGAAAGATGGACATATGTTGACCAGAAGGGGAAAGAGTCAAGCAGAGTCCATGGAAGGGTCCCAGGGTCCAGAAGTGATCAGGTAGGTGGGTTGGCAGTGCCAGTTGGACCTGGGTCCTCAACTTCCTCTGGTAGTTGTGGCACAGACCGTCATCTCTCAGGGTGCCACTCAGGCTAATGCAGCCTGAGTTCAGATCTCCAGCAGGAAAAAAAAAAATCTGGGCATGGTGACCTAATGGGGTGGGCAGAAGACAAGTGTCCACTCAGTGTGGCCAATCAGTGTGCTCTGGTCTAAGAGATCTTATCTTTGAAAATAAAGTGGGAAGTGGTAAAGACGGCAACTTGACTTCTGGCCTTCACAAACACTCGCTCCGTCCTACACTACACACTCATAACAGGTAAATAAAACTGTCCACACCTGTATGCTTCTCTGAAAAGACGAGCACTGTAGGTAAACTACTAAATGCCTACTTCACTTTCTTCAAGTGTTTAAGAACATTAAAGTGAGAAGCTTCTCAAGTCAGCTCAGACCTGGCCTGTCTGGGACAGTTGGAGGCTTGCAGTAACAAAGAACAAGTAGCCACAGGGTACTTGCAAACACAGCAGACAAGGGGTGATTTACAGACGCAGCATGGGCTTCCTCTAAGGCTGTACCCTGTCAGGGTCAGACGGTCCCAGTAAGTTAAACTAAACTGAAATTCCCAGATGACTCAAAAGGCCAGGCCTGCTACCCCAAATGCTAAGTTCTAGAACGCTTTTAAATGGCACTGAAACCTTTCTGTGGAAGACCTCAATGGTTCTGAACAGAAGGGAGAGGGGAAAGCAGAGATGCTGGCTCTGTAAAGGACATCTCTCAGGTCCTGGCGACGCGGTGTGGGTCACTGGTTCCCTCATCTCCGAGCCATGCTGTGGTCAAAGACTGTAAGAGATTATACAGTCCGGCTTTATGAAAAACAGTCTTTACACATGCAGATTCATTTGGGGATCCAGAAAGATCTTGCCCAACAATCCTTTCCTGAACAGTCAGTGGGAGGAAGCTGTAGATTTTAGGCTGAATTGGCCTTTATTGAATAAGAGAGAATTCATTGATGTAGAAATCCTTTTTTACTTAGTTACGTATCAACTGTGTTGCCTCACTCTGAGTTCAGAATGCACAAGGCCCAACTTACTGAGATATTAGCAGATTGATACAACACAGCTCTTATCGAAGGAGAGGAAGGATTCCCCTCGGAAGCAAATGAGTGACATGGCTCAGGACACAGATTCAGGTTGGCCTGAAGACAATAATCACCATGGAAGAAGTGTCACGAAGTGTTATTGTCACAAAACAAGTCGTAAGCCAGCACTTTTCTTTAAATCTGTATTTGTGGGAGCATGAGATAAGGGGCTACATACCAGGGAAGAAGCTTCTAAAAGTCTTAGGTGGTGACATCACTAGCTTTCCGGCTGAAGGAGGACACTGGTTAATGATACAGCTGAGAACTTTACTTACTAGTCCCAGGAATGTTAGGTCGGATACAAAGGTAAAAGATTATTTAAAGGACTAAAATAACCCAAGATGAAGTTGGTTCTCAACTTGCCACCTTCCGTCTTTCCACAACCATAATGCTCTAGGGCTCTTAACCTTCCTAAGCCTGTGACTCTCTGATACAGTTCCTCGTGTTGTGGTGACCCCAACCATAAAATTATTTCCGTTGCTAGTCCATAACTGTAACATTGTTGCTGTTAGGAACCGTAATGTAAATATCTGTGTTTCCCAGTGATCTTAGATGACCCCTGTGAAAGTGTCATGTGACTCCTATGAAAGGGTCCTTTAACTCCCATAGGGGTCTCGACCCACAGGTTGAGAACAGCCAAGGTCAGCAGCTGCAGGATCTTTGATATGGTGACCGCCTCTTCAGAGAACTCTAGGTCACAGATAACAGACAGGAGGGGACACTCATCACAAACAGGACATGAGCATCTAATGGGAAGCACACAGGTCCTTTCTGTCCCAGGGTAACGGATGAGTGCAGTGACGGAGGCCGTTAGCCGGCCTCCTCTGAGGTCCGCCAGCAACTGCCCAGCGTTGTTCTTCCCTTGCTCGGTGAGCAGCTCTCATTCCTTACACTCTGAAAGCAGAGTGGAAGTGTCCCCCACATCCTTGAAGGCCTCCCCACCCACAGGCCAGGGCCAGTGGCTTCCTTCTCCTGACACTCACCCTCCCTTCATGTTCCCAGATCAGCCAAAGGCCAAGGCCTTTTCATTATTTTCCGTTTCCTCCTCAGGAAATTATACGATTATAATAAAATACCAAGAAGAATAGTAACTACATTTGCCCTTCCTTCGCAGATTCTATTTTTAAAAGCACTCCTGTGTCCGCTGTCTTATATGAATCACTCCCAACTCTTCACTATCAAGGGTAATATTTATGCCCTCTTTAAAAGTCGTAATCATTTTAAAGGTGTTAAAGATTACTCGTGGCGCTTGGACGGCTGTATTCAGAACCACCAGGGTAGGCTATGGGACCACTGCAGGGGGCCTCACAGAGGGGAAGTGTGGGTTAACCCAATACAGCGAGAACAGGTAGCAATCTAGATACGGAGCCGTTCATCCTCCTGCGTGTATGCATACATGCATAAAGTTTCTGTGAGGAGGCTTCAGGGGTGGGGTGGGGTGGGGCATTCTACCTTAACTGACCTTAATGACCTGATTATGGCTGAAGGCAGGGGAGGTGAGGAGACACCACCCAGGGGATGAAAAGGATGAGGAACTAGATCAAGAATCTATAATGAGGATAATGAGGATGCTGGATAATCTTCGCTCCAGTGCTGAAGACGGTACCCAGCATCTGGCAGGTAATAAACACGTACTCTTATCGCCGAGCTACCTCCCAAATGACACGCCCTAGCCCACACAAGCCTTTAGACAGGCTTCTCGTTAATACAGGGCCCTACAAGGCTGGAGAGTGAAGCCATGGCTGGACCTGCTGAAAGGGTCCAGACACGGTGGTTTGAGTCTGACTAGGCGGAATCTGCCCTCTGAGGTCCCTTCTGAACACACTTCCCTCCAGGCCTCTTTGGTTTGTTACCAACCAGATAGACACCCTCTGGGGTTGGTGCCTGGGATGTTATCTAGGGTCTGCAGGTGATGGGGCATTTAATGAAGACAATTTCTAGGAAGGTAAAAGAAAACAAAATACAACTAATGGTTGCCAAGTGTTATCTGAGTCCATAGTGTGCCTTAGGTTGTGTTTGAACGGTCTGGAGGTGAACAGCAGGGTAGTCTAAAGGTAGCCCCGCTTCTGCTTTCCACTCAGCTTTCACGCAGTCTCCGAGTTAGGGGGGGAGGGAAGCAGGAGAGTGAAGCTTTGGTTTGTGATGCTGCAGCAGATGTGGCGGGAGACAGGGGAAACTGAGGCGCCATCCTGTGGGGTGCTACAGTTTTCTACTGAAAATCTTTCCAGTCTCCTTGTCGGTCAAAAATAAACCGAGCCACTGAACCTTGAGATTTGTGCCAGTGTTTTTGTACAGACACTGGTTATTCTTGCTCACAGACCTGTTCTCAATGGATTTTGACCAATCATTTACATGAGTGCAGTGCCTTAATCAATTTATGCTGCCGTAACAAAATGTCTTATGCCGCGTGGCTTACAGGACTACTAATATACTGTCTTCACAGTTCTGGAGACTAGCAGATTCCCTGATCACAGAGTCTGCTCCCTCCCTTCAATGTTCTCAGTGGGAAAGGGCAGACAACTCTCTGGTGCTTCCAGCTCAGGGCCCTAACATCGTCTTGAGGATCTGAAGCACGACTCTGTCTCCTTGAGGATCAAGACTTCAATTTATGAATTGGGAGAGAACACAACCATTCACACATAGCCAGAAAAGTAATTTATCTTATCAGAAAGCTGCTGTAAGTTATCTTGTTGGACTCCATCCCCCACTCCCACCCCACCGTCTAGGGAATCTCAGATTTGTCTTTTAAAAAGCTACCTGATAAAAAACCAAACCAAACCAAACCAAACCAAACCAAACCAAAACAAACCAAAACAAAACAAAACAAAAAGCCAGGCGGTGGTGGCGCACGCCTTTAATCCCAGCACTTGGGAGGCAGAGGCAGGCGGATTTCTGAGTTCGAGGCCAGCCTGGTCTACAGAGTGAGTTCCAGGACAGCCAGGGCTACACAGAGAAACCCTGTCTCGAAAAACAAAAACAAAACAAAAAAAGCTGCCCAAGACTACAAAATGAAGTCATGAATTTCAGCAGCGGACTTTGCTTCCGTACAACCTGACTTGGGTGGATTCCTTTCTTAGCCCGATCTTAAGGTCTCTTAAGTTTCCTCTGCTTGCCAGTAAATGAGCTACATGAAAAGCTGAGACCCTACTTAGACACCAGCCTAAGTATCAACTCCAGAAAGGCAACTGCAAATACTATAGGGTCTAATCACGCCGGACACACCCCTACATACTGTTCCAGTCAGAGCCTTGAT